TATATATATATATATATATATATATATATATATATATATATTTCTAATGAATTAATGGATTTACTTTTAATCAGAAATATTTATAATTTCACATGTTATTACAATAAATAATCTCATTTGAAATAGACGCCCTATTTTTTTTTTTACTTGAAACAGTGTGTATTACGTTTGTCGCCCAGCGTATTCAAGAAATCCTAATAAAGATTAGTTGCACACCGGCAGGAATCGAAACTGCGTCTCACAATGTAGGAGAAACCAAACTTTGTAGGTCTCTCTTTTGGTTTCCTGCTTCTCAGTCAATTTTGATCTTCAAAAATGTAAATGCAATGTCAATCGTTATCTTCTCTCTTCTTAATTTCTGTACTTTTTTTGTTTATTTTTCTGTCTCTATAATAGAGTTTTTGTTTTCCTATATTCCTTCACACTCAGTTCTTAGTGACTTTTATTACCTTGCTTTGGGTTAACTATATATATATATATATATATATATATATATATATATATATATATATATATATGTGTGTGTGTGTGTTATCACTTTAAACGTTATTTTACTGGATACCCATATTTGGGTAAAAGTATATTTATTAAATAGTATACGTATATTTATTTTCGTCTACCAACAAGTATATTTGAGAAATAAATAATATACCATTTAATAAATAAGCGGAGCGTTTATCTAAGTATGGGTATCCATTAAAATAACGCTTAAAGTGATAAAATAAAATAAATAAAAAATATAACTCTTTTTATATAAATAAAAATATATATATATTTTATATATATATATATATATATATATATATATGTATGTATGTATGTATGTATGTATGTATACAGAGTGTGCGATGGGCAATTTGTCGCCATTTAATATTTTAATTTCACGCTTTCGCGTTGTCTGTTTTTTGATTTTGCCGATTACACATTATAAGTAGGGTCAAGTGGACACCTTCTGTGAGAAAAAGATAACCATGACGCTATTCATTCCGTTAGAAATTTGGAAACGCCATGTTGTACTGCTTGGTATTCGCGACGGAAGCTCCAATACCAAAATTTCAGTGTGTTTGGATTTCAATCTGACAACAGTGCGCAGAAGATTCGGAAAGAGATGGATGGTTCTAATGGTGTTTACGGGGATCCTTGAAGGGATCACTAATGCTGACGATGTTATGCCTCCATTCATTTTCTCACAGGGCCTCAGACTCAACACGGAGGGCTACATCAAGTGCCTTGAGGAGTTATTGCTGCCCTGGGTCAAAAGGGTGGCTGGCAACAGGACTATGCAACATGCCACAAAAGCAGGAGTAGCCAGTCATGGTTGTCAGACAACTTCTACGACCACATCACCGCTTAGTCATCAGGTTGCAATCCACTTGATTAATGTGTGTGGCGCGCAGTTGAGTAAGAGAGCAACAAAACTCCTTGTAACACCAAGGATTAATTGAAGGCAAGGATTATGGCAGATTCATAAACTTAAATAAGGAGACCGTCCAGAATAGTTGCAGGAGATTCTGACGTCGTCTGAAGGCCGTGTTTTTAGCCAATCGTGATTTTAATAAATAAATTTTCTCTTAAGTATTTCATATTTTTGTGTAATTTTCAAATGAGATGTCAGTGTTTTTTTCCATTTTTTGCGTAATTTAGACAATTTATGCATCGCAGTATATATATATATATATATATATATATATATATATATATAAAGTTGCAAATTATAAAAATAATAATTTTTTTATGAAAGTATTTATTTATTTATATATATATATTTGATATTTCAAATTGACCTCCATCTTTCTTCAGAAATAACCGTTTGTTATATATATATATATATATATATATATATATATATTATTTAAACATTATTTTTAGTGGATGCTCGAATTTAATGCGTGTTTAAATAATAAAAATGTCTGTCGGATTAATAAAAATTCATATATTGCCGTTGACTTTATCTCGTATCTAAGAATTTCATATCTTTTTCTGATCCCTCCCTTTATGATGATGGCGTTGATAACCAATTCTTGCCTGAAAGAGCCGATTGTATCATAATGGGTGGAGAACGACGTCGATTTTGACGAGCGTTTGCCTTCTTCCTTTTCTCTTCTTTGATGTTTTTTGGTCCCGATTGTGATGGAGCACCGCCAGTTGATACCTTCTTGTGCATGTGTTTCAAATGGTTTCGGCTCAAGTCGAATAGCTTTCAACGTTGTTTTGAGTCGGTCCTTTTATCTTTGGAGGGGACAACCCCGTGGATTTTTCTTTGAGGTTAGCTCACCAAATAAGCCTTGACGTGGAAACCTTGACTCTTTCAATCTTGCTACGTGTCCTAACCATCGAAGACGGTGTTTAATGATCAGCGATTCGATGCTTTCACTGTTGGTTCTTTCCAGGACCTCGATGTTGGTCACGTAATAATTTCATTTGATATTCAAGATTGAACGAAACTTTTGCTGGTGAAAGCGTTTTAATTTTTGGATATCGCGACGATATAGAGTCCAGCTTTCGCAACCCGAAATCAAAGTTGAAATAGCAAAAACATTATAGATCATAATTTTCGTTGTTAGTTGTTAGATCTTTTTTTGAATGACAGAGGGCAGTGTTTTCATAATCAAATTGAAATTCCGAGATTTATTGCATGTGTGTTGAACGTTTAGATTGTAGTCTACTAATACGGAAAAGTCCTTCATCATATCGATATCTGATGTCAACTCTTGGATTGTATGGAGAAAGTTCCTGAAGAATACATATATACAGATTTTTTTTAAAAAATACTTTGTGACCAAGCCTAATATCAACCGAGAATATAAACCCTTTCTTTTTTATTCATTTCTCCACCAGTTTTCTAATTATATTTTTTTCTTTCATTCTTGCTATCATCATGATGCTTATCCTCCTAAATTTACAAGCTGTTTCCAAGAAAATCCGCAAGCCATTTCGCGGCCTTTCTGAGCCCGATGTACCAGCAGCTGTGACAGAAATGCACAGTAATTTATAAATACCGCTCACCCGACGTCCGACTGACTAATCAGGTGCATCTTTGTCAAGCGGTTGAAAGGCCAGAAACATCAAAAGAATCCATCTGCGGAACTACATTGACAATTGATTAACGACGGCAACGTTTCGGGGAAACAAAGTCGACATCGAGGCGACAGACAGTGACAACCAGACGAAAGCCGTTGTCATCACTTAAAACGTCTACTCGTTTTTTGACTCGTCATTCTGTGACAAAAGCGACTGATTAAAACACGTGTTGATTGCGCAGGTATCTAGGTTACAAGTATTTTTTTTAAGCATTCAACCCCAAGCAAGGCGGGAAGCCACTAGCACGCAAGGGGATACAGAGAGTTGGAGCGAGGAGTAATAGAGGAAAGGATGAAGAGACGGTTAGGGGATAGATCAGGGCACCTGGAGACGTTGATTAACGTTACATTTGAATAGTTGGAGATTATAGCTATCAGGGACACAGGAAGAGAGGAGAAAGTTCCACAGGCGAGAAGTGCGAGACATGAAGCTATTGGAGTAGAAGAGACGGCTACAATTAACAGTTTCAACAATGAAAGGGTGAGAGCGAGATGCCAGCCTAGTTGAACGCTTAAATTCATGAAGTCTGGGAACCAGCGAAAGCAGCTCATCGGAGCAGTTACCGTGAAAGTATGTAAAAAAGACAGAGAGAGGTGATGGCACGTCTGTGAGAGAGCGGCTGCAGACGAGATGCCAGATCAGGGTCAATTACATTGCATATCCGTTTTTGGATTTCATCAAGGTCCTTGAGACAAACAGAAGGGGCTCCAGGCCATATATGGCGGCAATACTCCATGCAAGGGCTAATCGTTGATTTGTAGATTTGATGGATCGACTCCGGCGAGAAAAATTTCCTGGCGCGGCATATTTTAACACCATTCGGTTTCTCTTGTACTTGCACAGTCAACTAGACGAGAATGTGTACGTAAGAGGTGATGGTAAAAATTATAACCTATGAGCGGGAAGCTGTGTGCAAAGATAAAATAATTGCAAAGAAACAGTGTAGATGGTTGTCAACAAAAAGATTAGCCCAATATGTAAACTTCAAATTGGAGATACAAAAATCAAGCAAGCACAACAATTTAAATATCTATAAAGTTTTTTTTTTAAAAACTCAGGACAGAAAATACGACTCCGAAAGCCGAAAGTGTGTTGAAAAAGCGACAGATAACTTCTACAAGCTAAGTGAAGTATAAAGAAACTGGGAAATGTCGTTAGAAACAAAGAATAGAATGCTGAACTGTAATATCAGTCCTCGTCTATTGACAGTGAATGCTGGACAATCTCCTCACAGGTGAAGAAGAGACTCGACATAACAAAGATACGGTTTTACAGAAGGATACTGAGAATACTGTAGACGGAACATGTGAGCAACAACGGGGCTTTAAAAGATGCAAACAAAATGGACATTTATACTTTGAATCGGTAGAGCACAGTTGAAATTTCTAGAACATATAATGAGGAAAGAAGATTTCAAGAATTCGACATTCACAGAACATACCGAAGACAAGAAAAAGCAGAGATAAAACAAGTAACCTATTTAATGAGCTTGACAGGAAAATAGGAAGATAATAAAAAAAAAATACAACACTGCTAAGATTGATTTTAATTGATTCATTTTTTTATGGTTTATCAAGCAGGTTATTTAAAGCCAGAATATATTTTTAAATTTTAAGAATTTAATGAGTTTGTGTAAATGAACAGGAAAATAGGAAGCAAAAAAAACAAAACTACTAAGATTGTTTTTAATTGATTCGTGTTTTTTTTTACGGTTTATTAAGCAGGTTATTTAAAACCAGAAAATATTTTCAAATTTTAAGAATTTTTCTTTTGGCGATAATAATGGTTTAACGATACAAGACTTACTAATTAACTCATAGCTGGTGGAGAAGAGGTGGATTTATAACTTTCTCAAGGATATTTGGGCGTGAATATAACGGACTGAGCTGTTATCTCTTACACCACCCGCACATTCAAGCTTTCAGCACCTGGTATTCCCAAACAGTCAGCTATCTAGGTACTGACCATGCTAGGTGTTGCTTAACTTCGGTGATCGTACGGGAGCCGGTGTTTCAGGGTGATGTGGTCGTAAGTCTACTATGAGCTAAGAGCTACAAAATGGAGGACGTTTTGGAGAGCCGTGATCGCTAACATCTTATTTTCCACTCTTTCTATAGACGCAACGTTGCAAGCCCACCGCCCATTGCTGTTTCCATAGCAAATGTTCAGATGAGCTCCACTCTTCAGTTCTACGAGTTTAGACATTTATAGCTACTGGCTTGTGGAAGCAACTCCTGCGTGGGTGCTTCCCTTAAAACTACAATCTTAATTTCTTCAAATCAAAGGTCAATCGCTACCTATGCACCTTATCCTAATAATGTTCACTTCATTGTACATCCTCTTACATTCATATCAATACAATTCATTCTGTAACGCTCTACCTTGAGTGGCTCTTTCTTTTGGATGAAAATTTTGAACTAAACGAAAGCATCAGACAACGCATAATCATCAAAATAAGAAAAATGAGGGCACTCGTCCGCATAATTCACTGTATAAAAAATCATCCTTTTATCGTCCGGATTATTTAGAGGCAATCGAACAGTACAACACTATGCAAATATTGTTGCAGAAATGGTAAACCCAATCGTACTGGTTTCTGCCGACCCGTACTGTGCGGGTGGTTCGAAACCCATGTATGTGGAACCCATACAGTAATGGTTTCTTTAACGTTTTAATATATAAGACTGAAGCGCTCCCCTTCTAAGTACTGGCCAGGCTTGACATAGGCTTAACTTGGACGTTCAAACGAAAAGAGGTGTTTCAATGTGATTTGACCGTAAGCGAGAAAACGGTTAGTGTTTTTGCAGCAAGAAGAAAAGTGGAGATGTCTCTCCGCCTCCAGATTACTTGGCGGGATGTGTCGTCAGCATAAGTGAGAAAAGCCACCATGATGGTTAGCTGTCCGACCTGCTGACATCTGCTCTACTTCCCTATCTCCTTTTCCCTCTCGCTTTCTTCAAGAGACGATATCTGATATGTTTCCTCAGCCCGCTAACACCACCACTACTACTACCACCACTACCAGCACCACCACCACCACCACCACCGTTGAAAAAAGCCGGCAAAAATAGCTTGAAGAAAATTCTCTCTCTCATTCAGTCTGTGACGCATCGTTTACGCAGTGCTGTTAGACCACTAGAATCCAAGAAGATATAGTGATTTTCTACGCGTAGCTTAGATGTGGCTCAATTCCGAAAAGCATGGGGCGAAGCAGTGACGATCGAACTCACTATTCAGTCGTAACTACTTGAGCGAGTTAAGCTTGCTAACCATTACACAACGTGGAAGTGCCCAAATAATTTTTAAGCCGTGCTTAGATGTGGCACAAGGATGAATGCATGGGACACTCAGTGAGGAGCGAAATCCCTATTTAGTCGTAATTGATCTAGCAAGACAAGCTTGCTAACCATTACAGCGCGTCGAAGTGCACAAATGATTTTCTAAGCGTAACTTAGATGTGGCACAAGGCCGAAAGTGTGAATTGAACTCACTACTCAACTTTAATTGGTCTAGCGAGACAAGCTTGCTAACCATTACACCACGTTGAAGTACCCTCAATCCAAGACCATATGCAACGCAACGATATACAAGCGTAAGATAAAATAGAATTATACGTCACTCACCAGGTTCGATGGATGTTCTTATTGAACCCGAATTCACGATTGAGATTGCGTATTTATTCCAGGAATCTGGTTCTGGTTTCCTGGCGTACCAACCAACCATGGCGTCTGCGATAAGGTTTCCTGCGTGAGAAGATAAGAAAACAAAGATGAAAATGAGAAAATGTTTCGTGAATCAGAGAAGAAAAGATTTCGCTTGAAACAAAGAAAAGTAATACTGTGCAGTCATATAATGACAATCATTCTATATTGCAGTGAATGCTGGACAATCCCCTCATAGATAAATGTTGTGGACAACGAGGGAAAATTGTTTGTTCTTTTTTCTTCCCGTGTGAGTTCGATCGCTCGTCGCCAATTTGTTGTGGATTCCGGGATGAAATCCGGTCTCAAATAAATGTCAAACGCAGGAATGAAATAAGCAAATAAATGTATTGACGTAATAATACAATTGGTAATACGTTTAGTAGATCCAGAAATGCGGTTAGTAGCAATAATAATACATATACAGTCTGGGAAATTCAGTATCGAAGTATGACTTCCTTCTGAGTCTACGTGCTCGCAATTGTGACTCCTACAAAGCGGTTACCTCACACTCTCAGACTCTCACTATCTGTCTCTCGGGTATTCACCGGCAGCAGTACAAGTACACACTGGGCGAGTCCACTTGTATGAAAAAGGGGTGGACACCTTAACAATAAAGAAGAGAATTCAGCCAATAGAAACAAAGAAAAGAGCACTGAACTTTTATGTAATATTGGTCTACCAGATACGGCAATGAACCCTGGACAATTTTCTCACAGATGGAGAAGAGAATCCAGGCAATACAAAAAAAAAAAAAAGAAATGAGTACTGATCTTTTATGTAATATCGGTTCTCCAAATGTGACAGTGACTGCTGGGCAATTCCATCAGAGATGAAGAAAGAATTCAGACAACAAAAACAAGAAAAGAATACTGAACTGTTTTGTAATATTGCTCCTCCAAATATGGCCGTGAATGTTGACAATTTCTTGACAGATGAGAAGAGATTTCAAGTAACAGAAACAAAGAAATGATTCCTCTAGTGAATACTGAAGAAAATCCTCACAGATGAAGAAAAGAATTCAGACAATAGAACCAATGAAAAGAGTACGGAACTGTAATGTAATATTAGTCCTTCAAAAATGTCAGAGAATGCTGGACAATTCCCTCACAGATGAACACCATAATCCAGGCAATAGAAATAAAGAAAGGAAAACTGGACTGTTTTTTGGGGTTCAAGAGAGAAGACAGTGCATGTTGGAAAATCTACTCTCATGTGAAGAAGAGAGTTCAGCTTATAGAACCAAAGAACAGAGTACTGAACTGTAATGTAATTTTGGTCCTCCAAATATGGCAGTGAATACTGGACAATTTCCACATAGATGATGAATAAAATTCAGGCAAGAGAAACAAAGGAAAGAGAACTGAACTCTTATGTAATATTGTTCCGACAGATACGGAAATGAATGCTGAACAATTTCTACACAGATGAATAAGTGAATTCAGGAAATAGAACCATTGAAAAGATTACTGAGTTTTAATGCAATATTGGTCCTGGACAATTTCTTCACAGCTGAAGAAGAGAATTCAGGCAATAGAAACAAGGAAAAGAGTACTGAACTGTTACTTAATATTCGTCTTCCATATATGGCAGTGAATGCTGAACAATTTCCCTACAGATCAAGACGATAATTTAGGTAATAGAAACAAAGAAATTATCATTGAACTCTTACGTAATTTTAGTCATCCAGATATGGCAGCGAATGCTGGACTATTTCCTCAAATATGAAAAAGAGAATTCAGATATCAGAGACGCGCTTCTACAGAAGAATGCCGAGAATACCTTGGACTGAGAATGTGAGAAACGAGGAAGTTTTAAAGAAAATGGCGACAAAACAACTAAAAAAACAACACATATTTAGAATTAGAAAGTTAAAATTTCTAGAACGCACAATAAGGAATGGGGATTTGGAGAATTAGATACTGACGGGACATATTAAAAGAAAGATGAACAGAAAGAAACCTACCTAACGATTGAATTTAATAGGTAACATGACGGGCAGTGGAAAGGTTAGACATACAAGGATAGGAAGTTGTGAAGAGCTACGATCGCTCGTGGAAGGCATACAAATTGTGGGAGTAAAAAAAACGAAAGTTTTGTAAACTTCATTTTAAGACGAAGCATTTTCAGGCATTAAAGAGAGAAACCGGGGCAAGTATCATAATTAAATTTGAATTTTCGTGAAGTGTTCAGTTCCTAGTAACCCTGGCGATAAGAATAGTTGAAATGAAGAAACTGGCATTACCATGAACATTTCCTATCCACACTGATTTTTGTTGTAGATCGAAAGGCCGAGTAAAGTAATTAACAAAAATATTACGATGAAGGAAACTCCATAGTCAATAGTTTTGGCCATTTGTGTCTCCAACAAGGTGACATGCATTTGAAGCTGATCAACAATGAACATTGGCTTGTATTCACTTCATGCTGACGATCTTCATTGTCAATACGCTTAATTCAACGTACAATATTATTCAGGTTAAGTTTTGAATATAACTTCATACAATAATAACTGAATGGGATCGCTCAAATATTTGACCTATATATATATATATATATATATATATATATATATATATATATATATATATATAAAGTGAACATTGAAGTCGACACTCAGAGGTGACAGGCTGTTTCATCCTAGACGCAATCCTCAGGCCAGAGGATTGCCTCTAGCATGAAACAATGGCCTGACAATTGCGTCAAGCATGAAATTGTTTGTCGCCTCTGAGTGTTGACTTCAATATTCATATATATATATATATATATATATATATATATATATATATATATATATGTGTGTGTGTGTGCACACACACACACACACACACACACATATATATATATATATACATATATATATAAGATATAATGCCATTTGATTATTATCGAGTCAATCTTCGATATGTATTGAACGGTATTATATCTGATTTAATAATAATTATCACTGCAGTCTAATAGTGAGCAGAAATTCTGTTCAGTTTTATATACATTGAATTATATAATTAGACGATATGTAAATTTTTTGTCTTCACATCCGGATAATGGAAGTTTGGAAAATCGAGGTACGGATAATCGAGCAAGTATTGTAAAATATTCCTATTATTTCAAATTCAAGTGTTTTTTTTTTAAATTTATTATTATTCATACTGTTTTATAACTTCACAACTTGAGAGTCTCTGTACTTTCAAAGGATGGGGGACTCCACTGTTGCAGCCTCATATATAATGAGTGGCCATTGGTTGTTTATTGTCTAACAGTATGTTTGTTGTAGTAGGTCAGGAATGCATCGGACGTAAAAGTCATCTGTCAGGGTCGCTGCCTGAATGGAAAAGTGACTAGTTTGGTGATTACTCAAGTGGTCAGATGACCTGATATGACAAGAACTCTTAAGGATTTCTTGAAAACAGCAAGCTTAATTTAAGTTTGAAGTAAAAAAAAAAAATCTATTGTTAGCAAACGTTATATTTCCCTCGTGCCAACATTAAAACTTATCCACAAATAGAGCTCAATATATTTATTATAGAGCATACATAGACTATTTACATATAATGAGACTCAGTACCCCATATGGATGGCAATTTCACCTCCCAAGGAAAAATTCCTTCCGAGGTTTTTCAACACACACAAAAAAAAATAACAAAAAAAACAAACTTTTTTGTGTTTAAAAACTTCGGTAAAAATATTCCTTAGGAGGTGAAATGACCATCCATACGGGGTATTGCGTTTCATTAAATTTAAATTCTCTATTTATCTATCTATTTTTGAAATTTTAAATTTATTACGTAAGTATCTGTTTAATATTCTATTTTTTTTTTTTACTTTATCCTATTTTCTAGCTAATTTTTATCATTTGGTTAATCTGTTTTATCCTCTTCTTAATCTGTTAATTAATACCGCTGTTAAAGTTGCCTGGAGTCTGTTAAGTACCGTAAATTGCAGCGTACAATTCAACCTGGCGTACAACTCGACCTCCTTTTTTTTAAAATTTTTATCTCAAATTTCGAGGTTAGGCCTCTACTTAACGCGTAGGTTGACCCCCAAATGAACGCTAGGCTAACAGTGATCAAAAAATGTGACCTCCGACCCAAAAAATATTTTTAGGCTTGAAAAACTCAATCGAAAAATTAGTTTTTAGGCTTGAAGTTTCGACTTGTACGCCACAATTTACGCTTATTCCAGTCATTCTGTACTACTCAGTCAATATATCTTTTTTTCTTTCTATTTCATATTTATTAACGAGACTAAGACATCCTGTTCTGTTAAGGCGTAGGAATATTTGACCAGAGATTGACATAAAACGTTTCATTTGCACGCAAAAGATTACTTATCTCACTGAGTAATTACTTATGTTTCCGCTTTGATAATTTTCATGGAATAAGGATTTAAAAACAAAAAAAACAGATTGTTTATTTAAATATATATGTTTGGAATGCCCGCAGTTTGACAGTCTTCATGTTTAAGGGCCGAATTACATTTTGAACTAGGCGTCGGGTGCATCTTCGCTGTTATCATCGAAGCAAGCCTGTTGAACGATCTGCAGGCCATGTGTAGCCAATTACAAGCCAGGGAGGTTAATTCCTTATCGGCTCGTTCACAGGAGCAATTTGAAATGTCACGATCGAGAGATATTTGATATAATTTTCAAATAAAAACCAGAGAACCAGATATTGGGAACGGCAAATCAGACGGGTTATCGCTGCCTTAAGAGAGATGAGATTCGTATAGCGTTAAACCATTTAGATTCAGTGCAAACCGAATCATGATATTACCAATCTTTCTACGAAGTACGACTTACGATAAACCTTTCCAAAAAAGGAAAATATAATCTGAAACTGTCCTCTTGATTACTCGCTTCTCCTCATCATTATATATATATATATATATATATATATATATATATATATACTAGCAGCATGGCCCGGCGTTGCCCGTGCTTGATTCAAAAATCGTACGACTCATACAGCAATCGCTATCACTTGACTTAAAATAATTTTGCCATTTATTTTATTTTTGCCTTTAAAGGAGTGCCCTTGCCGTGC